TAAATGTTACAGATAGGGAAATCACATCCCACTAACCAGCCAGTTATCCACACTAGTTGGAATTAAACTGGAGTAATTAATGTTAACATGATGCTACCTCCCACTGCCTACTAAGGGCGAAGTGACATTTAAAACCCTGTCACGTCACAAATGTTCTGATTCAGTACCTCTCCCCAGCGTAGGGCAACCATACAACAGGTTTTGGGAAAGGGCAGAACGTGGTGTCTCTGCTCACCAGCACTGGCAGCGAGAGCCGCTGTGAACGGCAGCATTGCGTCCACTCTGAAAATGTGCTTGTGCTCCTGTTTTTACACACCAGTTCGGGAACGTACACAGTTGCCTTAGCAACTGATGCATCCAAGACTGACAAAACAGTCTCAGGCTGACGTATGGAAGTGTGTTTTCTTACAGCTTTATGAAGGTGAAAAAGCACTACCTTCGCTTAGCCGGACTGTTTTAACTTCCCGCACCATCACAGAATCACAGAATGGTAAGGGTTGGAAGGGACCTCTGTGGGTCATCTAGTCCAACCCTCCTGATGAAGCAGGGTCACCTCCAGTAGGCTGTAGAGGACCTTGTCCAGGCGGGTCTTGAATATCTCCAGAGAAGGAGACTCCACAACCTCCCTGGGCAGCCTGTTCCAGGGCTCCGTCACCCTCAGAGGGAAGAAGTTCTTCCTCATGTTCAGACGGAACTTCCTGTGCTTCAGTTTGTGCCCGTTGCCCCTTGCCATCAGTGGAGCAATGGCAGGAGCAGTCTTGGCATTCGGCTGAGACCGTCTGGATGCGGAACGCTCCAAATAGACACTATATCCTATTTATGTCGTTATTTTTCCAAAACGCCCTGTCCTGGCAAATCCCCACCTTCCCCTCAGGAGAAACATCCAGAAATTCAAGGCCTCCCGAATCAACGCACTTGAACCAAGGCGCAAATCCCCACTGGGCAGCTGGCCATCAGAGCAGCCAGGTTCTGGAACAAAAGCCTCCTAATGCAGTAACAGAGGAAAATAACTAATATTGTTACGGTGGGTTATGAAAATGATTGTACGATGTGGTGGCCTGCAGTAGCCTGAGGCTGCAGAGCTGCCCCTGTCACTCCTGCATTTCCAACACCCAGATTCTCAAAGCTTCTCGTTGCCTCTGGCAGCGCTGAGAGGGCACGGCCCGACCAGTTACCTCTCGCCCCTGAAGGACACCAAGCGGTCAGCTCACCCTCAAATCCCAGGGCGTGCTGCTCTGCACTTACATGGGCCTTCTGCTGATGACAAAGGAGACATCTCTGACTTACTACTTTTTCAAACTGACTTTTCCAAATAATTCTATCTCTGAAGATAGAAATAAAAATGTTTAGGAAAAGAACTGAATGGCACAGCTGGACTGTAGAATGTAGAGGCTGCTGGCAACCTCCAACCCATATAAAACCATCTCTGTTTACTGGACTGTAAAGTTTGTTTGCTTTTAAAGAGGTACAGTAAAGATGTACTCAAATCTGATTTGTAGATTTATAAATATAGATTCTACAAACCTGCATTTAGTTTATTTTTAAGATTACCAATTTAATGGAG